AGGATTAAAAATATAGCACTGATAACATTTCTACTTTCTGGAATGTTTAGCTCCTTTAAGTAATTTGCTTATGTAGTGCCAAAGTTTGTAGTGATGGCACTATATGTAAAAACGCCCCCAAAAGGACCCAGAACAATATAAAGTTATGTGAAGGACTCTGTGTGGAATGACTAGCATTGAGTTGAATAAGAACTAGATGAAGGAAACGGATGGTGAAATCATTAGGAGGTAGATGCAAGCAAGATGAAGAAAAAAACAGACATTATGCTAATATTTAAGCTTCTTCCAAGGAAAAGTTATGGAGTGTGGAATCATATCATTGTAGTTCTGTTTTGGAAATTGCCTGGTGTTTTATGAGCATGAAATTGGAAAGGCCCCTCATTTCCAAGTCATCACCTCTGTATTTGAATCTTTATCATAATGACATTGCTCTTTCCTTTGTGTGTTTAGTTCATTGGGTCCCACCGGATTTGGTGGGTTTTGTTTGTTTGCTACTGAAATTGTTAATTTATAAAACAAGATCTAGAGTGTCACATTTTTATTGTAACCGTACTCCTTGAAGTTGCCTATAGCATTTTAAATATCAGAAGATGAAGAACTTTATTCATTTCCCTTTGGAAAAAAGAAAAGATTACAACTAGTGGCATATCTTGAAGGAAGCTAACGGCATTTTTTTCTTTAACTTTTTCTCTTTTGCTCTTAAGGGGATTCTGATGATGGCCTACCTTAATCTTCTGAAATGTCACAGTCCCTGGAGCTGGTGTGTAGCCATCTCTGGAGGAGGGACCTAAAGGACACAGCCTAAAGCTGCAGAAAGAAAAGTGGGCTAAAAAAAACAGAGCCGGGTGTGCGTGAGGGTGCAGCGCGCCTGCCTCCTGCCTTTCCTGGGGGAGAGGACAGTGCAGTAAACAAACACCTGCAGCCCTGGGAAATGTGCAACAGCGTTTAACCTCGAGGAGTGTGGAGATGCACCACATGTATCTTCCGTGTCCTGTGTTGTTATTGGGTCTATGGAAATTACTCTGGCTCCGGGTGTGGTTGGTTAACGTTGCTATACATGTCCTGTCCATTTAATTGGAGGATTTGGCAGAAGGAATAAATGACAGTCGGGGTTGATTAAATAGTTAGAGAGCGTTTGGGGTCTAGAGCTGTTTATGAAGTTATAAGTCTCACACACGTGAGAATTGCGTCTTTATCATTGTGTCTGTTGTTTTCTTCCTCTGCTTAGATTGGTGCTTACCCCGGGCACCTAAAGTTGTGGCTCTTATACAATTGGTATTTTGTGTTAAGAAAGTAACAGAGCTTTTAAATATTCAGAATGTGTTGGTTATATGAAGGTGTTTTTACTTTTAATAACCACAGTTGTTGTTGTATGAAGGTATTTTTACTTTTAATAACCACACCTGTCGTTATATCCTCCCCTGATCCCCCAAAATAAAGTGGCTGCCAACGAATCCTTAAAGAGCATAGATTGAGTGAAAAGGGCACAGAACAAAGGATAGATCTCAGGGGTAAAATGAGAAGTTGTGTAAATAGCTGTGCTATTTTCCTTGGAAATGTCTGGCACACTCTGTGTAGGATGTCTCTCCAGGGGGGCTGGGCATCTGACTCTGTGATGAAGGCTTCTGCAAGGAATCTCCGGCACTGCACGGATGGTGTGGACATCCAGATCTTCACATTTCCTAACTACCTGTATTTATTTTACAAACTTGTTAAATCTAGTATCCTCAGAAACATAATACTGGCACATCACCTGCATTCAAATAATCTTCACCTTACCTTTCATATCCAACCCTCTGAGAAGTAAAACATGAACAAATGTTAGCTCTGCGTCACTCTCAGAAATTTAGAGTGTGCTAAGCAAAAGTTACATTTTCTAGTGGGAAACCGGCATAGAAATGAGAACTTTGGCTTCTTTGATTCATCTCACTATATACAACCCTAGGCCATTCTGTATTCTGTGGGCAAAATCCTATGTCTTCCATGGCTCAGCTTAGATCAGTGGTTCTCAACCTTCCTAACGCTGCAACCCTTCAATACAGTTCCTCATGTTGTGGTGACCCCCAACCATAAAATTATTTTTGTTGCTACTTCATAACTGTAATTTTGCTATTATTAATTGTAATGTAAATATCTGATGTGCAGGGTGCTCTTAGGTGACCCCTGTGAAAGGGTTGTTGGACTCCCCAAAGGGGTAGTGACCCACAGTCAGAGAACCACTGGCTCAGATGAAAAGTCTGTAACAAAACAGGCTTAATTCCAGCGGCCATATTTAATTGTTCCCTTCCTAATGGTCCTGCAGTTACACTCTTATCATTCTCTTTAAGAACAATTTCTTTCCATTCTTTAAAAACATTTTTTTTGCCTTCTGTTCTTTTATTGTTTATCTTTCTCTTTTAATTGTCAGTATGTCTCTCACATAATACAAACATGTGCTTATTGCTTGTTACATGGGGGCCCATGTTTAAATTACTACCTGGTGCTTAAACACTTGTCATGAATTATTTGACACCTGGTATATGCAGGGCACAACCTTATGTACTACACAGAAGTCTGAGTTGGGGTTTGCCTACCAGTTTTTTACAGATTTGAAAATGTCATGTTCTGGGCAAAAGCAGTTCAGGAGCTGAAAATTCATTGCCATTTCAAGGCAATGCCAACCCCCCCAATCCACATAGTATTATTTTTATATGTAATACAAAAATTTTATATATAGGCTCAGCGCCTGTGGCTCAGGTGGTTAGAGTGCCAGCCACATACACCTGGGGTGGCGGGTTCAAATCCAGCCCGAGCCCACCAAAACAACAACAATGACGGCTGCAACCAAAAAATAGCCAGGCATTATGGTGGGCGCCTGTGGTCCCAGCTGCTTGGGAGGCAGAGGCAGGAGACTCACTTGAGCCCAGGAGTTGGAGGTTGCCGTGAGTTGTGATGCCATGGCACTCTACCCAGGGGGACAGCTTGAGGCTCTGTCTCAAAAAAAAATAAAATTTTTATATATAATGAATATATGTAATACATATAAGTATACATAATATTTTATATATAAGTGGGATTTTATATGTAATAAGTAGGATTATATACATTAGTGCCATATCTATATATCTATATATATAGATAGATATATAGATATCCTGTTAATTTAAAAAACAAACGTGTGTTAGGTTTAACTTAAACATTCTTTGTGTACTTGGCATGGTAGACACACATGTAAGACAAAAAAAATTGAAATGTCTTCATTTTCTGCAATACATGAGGGAACAGCAGCCTGAAGGTGTCATAAATTGGGGAAATATTCTATATTTTTCTAAAAATTTTAGTACATTTTCTGGAGTTCTTTTTCCCCCTGTGGAGAAGACCTAGGACATGAAAGCCTTAAGTGTCATTATTGATTCAAGAATTAAAACACCAAACATAACTATGAGACGTTAAAGACCTAAGTAAATGTAGAGACATCATGCCTATAGGTTAGAAGGCACGATATTAAGATTTACTAAATTAATAGCTGGAAGGCAATCTCAGTCAGAACTTGCTGAATTTGGCAAAATGACCCTGAAATTCTTGCAGAAATGGAAAGAACCTAGAACAGTCAAAATAGTTTTGAAAATGAAGGACAAGGTTGGAAGACTAGCACTACAGGATCGTGGGAATTCTCATGAAGCTGTGGCACATCCAGGCAGTGTGGTATTGGCATCAAAGTCACCCCACAGGGGATCAGAGTAGAGCATGCAGAGATGCAGGAGCAGGGCACTTGTTCCAGAACAATTAGGTATCGTTGGAACAGTTGGATATCCATATGCAAAAGAGGGGAAGAGGCTTCAGTTCCTCATACCACATACGAACATTTACAGGGAATGGATCATAATCTAAATGCCTGACCTAAAACTATAATACTTCTAGAAAGGAGGGAAAAATCCTTGATTCATAGTCATTATCTAACCGCTGGTTAACTGATCACGACCCAGTTCATTTTTGTAGCAAATAAAAGGTAAAGCATCGGTGTTGAAATTATAATGATTTCAAGAGTAGGTCTACCTAATTGCAGCCGTGCAGCTGTGAGGGCAAGTGGAGCTTAAGTCTGGCCTGTACTCTAATGGCCACGCCCTGGGCACCCACATGATGTGTGTCTGCCTGAGAAAGGGGCATCTTTTCCCAGTTTGTGCTAAGGCACCATGTGGACAGTTCACCATAGGCCTTGGATGAAGGTGGTGGTGTTGATGGTCTCCCCCCCCCCCAGATGCTGCCTAATATCAGTAAGCTTTCTGGTGGGCTTGTCTTTCCTCTTAAATAAAACCAGCTATTGACTTTCAGTGGAGGGCTGTGTTTAACCAGAATTCCACAGTATACAACAGTGTCCCAAAAGAAGGTCAGCTACTCCAGCTGTCTGCATGAGGCATCATTCTTCTCTCCCATTCGTAATTTGGCCCAGTTGCCTTGAAAGGCAAGCAAATTTTTAGGGTGCATTTTTTTTTGTCACTCCAGAGGATGCCTGGTATCATTTCTGTACCTGTGTCCCACTATTAATGTCCCCAGCCAAGATTTTTATCTATCTATATAGCATAAAAATTCAGAGAAAGGACGGACACTCCTATAGCTCCTCTGAGTGATGTGCTTGCTCTGAGTATTGAAGCTTCATTAAGAGGAGTTAAACCTTCCTGCTTCAGAAGATAGAAAGTAATGTTTAAAATATACAACTCTGAAACAAATGGAAAATATTTGATAATCACGTGTTAGCTTCATAAAAATAATGGTCGGGTACAGACACCTGGTTTTTGTTTTTTTCTTGAACCTTGAGCCACCAGCTAAATCTATGACTGAGTACAAAGCCCAGGGTGATGGTGTGACAGGATGGGTTGGGACAGCAGAGCGATTCTGTTTGGAAACCTTCAATGTTTAAAATCGACACTGCCACCCACTCCTACTTCTGTGCAGCTCACCTTCTTTTCCTCTGACTTTTTCCCTAAGGAAACTTAAAATACATCTCTTTTCCCCTTTTATAGATGCGAACCACACGCAAGGTCTCTGTCTGGCCTGTGGGCCTGGTTGGTGGGAGACGCTATGAACGTCCATTGGTGGAAAATGGCAAAGTCGTTGGTTGGTACACCGGCTGGAGAGCAGACAGGCCTTTTGCCATCGACATGGCAGGTGAGAAGTATGAATGGGGGACATCTGTTCCTGTCTGATGGTTCTTACTACATGCCCATTTATAACAGTGCACCAGAGGAAGGAAGCTTTAATTAAAGGACCAATCTGGGCAAAACCCTAGGTCATATCACATTTAGCAGAGGAAACATTTAACTAAACGTAATAGGCTCTTTGGTTAATTCAAGTGGAAACTGATTTTCAGGGTGATTAGAAAATGCTCATTCTGTTCCATTTTGTCACCTGTTTATTTAGCAAACATTTATGTGCCAGGCCTTGGGTTGGGCATTGAGGGTTCATTGGTGAGAGCTACACCCAGCTGCTGTCTTCCAGGGGTCTATTAACTAGAACCTTTGGGTTCCCTTCTCTAGAATATCAATATGTTAATATATGACTTGTGTTTATTGATAATTTAATAATGCTATAAGTGACAAATAAGTCATCTCAATGCTTATTGATAAATTTAGTGTGTTATTAATACACATAATTGAAATGTAAAATTGGATTACTGGTTTTCAAGCATTCATTAACTTCAAGTGTAACTTTCTTTTAAAGTTATTATTCCCAGAGGAAGCAAGTGAATCAAATTAGACCTATACTAGGCTACAAGTTCTAAAATGCTTCTTTGTCATAAAGCGAATCATTTTCTGTGTGTTATATGAAGGGATGCCTGTGATAACTGTGGAAGAATGAAGTTTGAAACATGAGGCTCAGAGGGAAAAAGAAATCACTGACAGCCTTACCCCAGAAGGTGAAGGCAGAAAGGCTTCAGAATTGGTCTCATCCCTCTTCAGCTCTGAGGCTCAACCCTGTGTGTGTCAGCCTGTGTTGGCCCCATCAGCTCTGAGGCTCAACCCCGTCTGTGTCAGCCTGTGTTGGCCCCATCAGCTCTGAGGCTCAACCCCGTCTGTGTCAGCCTGTGTTGGCCCCATCAGCTCTGAGGCTCAACCCCATCTGTGTCAGCCTGTGTTGGCCCCATCAGCTCTGAGGCTCAACCCCGTCTGTGTCAGCCTGTGTTGGCCCCATCTTCTGTGCATATTTCCCAACTGCTCAGACTGCTGATGGGATGAAGGCTGTGGCTGTGTCCTGAACTACATTTATAACTTTTATTCTAGCAATACTATAAATTTGAGGGAGCCGGGCTATGCGAATGGTAGGAATCATTTGTGGGCAGAGCTCTCACAGATGGCCATGTGCCGGGTCTGTCACACTGCACTGCGTCATTGGAGAGAAACTAGGAAATGTTTCCCTAACATTTAACACACTTTTCCACAGTGTGGCTTTGTGGAACTGTGTGTCGTGGTCTCTAGCCCTCAAGGCAGTCTAGATCTTTTGCTCTTCTCAGACTGCCCTCCCGAAAGTCCCCTCTCCACTTCCTGACCCCGCTAGCCCTCTGTCCACCTCAGCCATACCCTTTGGTCTTCAGTTCTTGCAGCCTCAGAGCTGATCTGTCATATCAGACAAGAGAGGCAGGCGAGCCGTCCTGGGAAGTCCTGAGGACTCTCAAAAGAGACCTTTCCCCATCCGTTCTGAGTCTGAGGCTCTGAAAATAGAAGGCTGAACATAATGGAGATTTTAAAAACCAGCCCTCTTGCTGAAGCTTCAGAAGTGAACCCCTCAGCAGAAAATTTAGAGAATGTCAGGGAAAGTCCTTTTGCTTCTCTGGGACTTAGTTCGCTCGTGTATAAAATGAGGCAGTTACAGAAGACCACCTGGGCCCTCTTCACACCTGCTTCCATTTCCTGTAAAAACCAAGATCCTGGGCTTCTGAGGATTACAACTGCCCACGCTGCTTGCTGACAGGCATTTGGTCCAGATCTTCCCTGTCTCAACTCATACTCCTCACATGTGGCTCCTTACACAGGGACTGTCTTCTTGTTTACCTGCATGGGTCATTTCATGGTTAGGGCAAAACTGGGTAACTCTTCCTTAATCTTCATGTAAGAATTTTGTGTAGATGATCAGTTATCCAATAAACTTGTTGAATATCTGCATTGGCTACCCCCAAATTTGGGTTCAAATTGACATTTCTAAAATTTAAGAAAGAGACATGGTTTTGGTGCATGCAGCTGGCCACAGATAAGACATCTGATGTTTCTTCACTGCCGCATTCTACAGGAGTTTTTTTTTTTTTCATGACATGACCGATGTTTGCATTTTTCTAAGCATTTCTATGTATTTTCAAAGCACAATAAAAACATACCAATCATAATAAAATGTGAATGATTTGCTTGCTTTGTATTCATTATCTTTGTTTTAAAATAGGAATAAAACATCTGTCTCTAAGGAAACAACTTTAATCATACTAAATAATTCTTTTCATTTCACATGAGCTTGCTTTGCATCCTGGTTTGCAGTAAATTATTAATAGTTTTGGAAGTCTTTTAAGTGTGAGTGATTTGGTTGATAGGATAATGATTCTGTTTTTGAGGCAGTTTGTTCTGATCCTAAAATTGAAAATTCAGAGCTTTCTTTAGATTCCACCTAGGATTTATTTATAGTCTGTGGGAAGACCTTTTAGGCCTTCATGTTCAAATGGTTATTCTCATCTCATCTTCAGATTATACGCAGACACACACATATACTCATCATCTTTGGAGTGGGGAGAGAAGCTGGGAGTCCACACTCCTGCTGTGGACAGGTTGAGGAGCACTGCTTTGAAAATACTATGTGACCGGCAAGTGAGAGGAGCATGTTGCAGGGTGGGTCTCACTTGTCAATCAGCTTTTCACTCTTTTCCCTTTTTATTTCAAAAAAATTAAAGGGGCATGAGAGTTTTTATTACATGGATATCTGGCATGATGTTTAAGTCAGGACTTTCGGTGTACCAATATACAGAACAGTGTTCATTGTACCTAATAGGTAATGTGATCTCATACCCACCCTCCTGCCCTCCCCCTTTCTTGGTTTCTCACGTCCTTTCTGTTACTTTGTGCCCCTGTATACCCACCTATTAGCTCCCACTTGATTAGGGAGAACATACGGTATTTGGTTTTCCATTCGTAAGATACTTCACTCAGGATAATGGTCTCCAATCTCCTCTACATTGCTGCAAATGATATTATTTCCTTCCTTTTTGTGGCTGAGTAGTACTCCATGGTATGCATATACCACATTTTCTTTATCTACTCCTGTGTTGAAGGGCATTCAGTGGATTCCACATCTTTGCAATTGTGAACCATGGTGTGATAAAGATTAAGATACAAGTGTCTTTTTGATAAAATGACGTTATTCCTTTGGGTGGCACCCAACAGTAGGACAGCTGCATCAAAAGGTAAGTCTGCATTTCTTTCTTTGAGTAATCCCTATACGGTTTTCTATAGTGGTTGTACTAATCTTCAGTCCCACCTGTAGGATATATGCGTTCCTTTCTTTCTGCATCCACATCAGCATCTATTATTTTTTGACTTTCTAATCATGGCCATTCCAGGAGAGTTAAGGTGGTAGATCATTATAGTTTTAATTTGCATTTCCCTGATGATGACTAGTGTTGAGCATTTCATCAAATGTTTCTTTCTCATTTGCCAATCGTCTTTTGAAAAACTTATTTTCCTGCCTTTTGCCCATTTTTTGATGGGTTTTCTTGCTCATTTGTTAGAGTTCTTCGCAGATTTTTGACATCAGTCCTTTCTCAGATGTACAGCTTGCATAGGTTTTCTCCCATTCTGTAGGTTTTCTATTCACTGTGTTGATTATTTATTTTGCTGTACAGAGCTCTTTAAGTCTCATTTATTTTTGTTGTTGCTATATTTACCTTTGGGGTCTTTGTCATAAATTCTTTGCCTCAGCTGATTCCTACATTTTATTCTAGAATTTTTATAGTTTCATGCCATACATTTATGTCTTTAATCCATCTTGAACTAATTTTTGCATATGGCAAGAAATAGGGATCTTGTTCCATTCTTCTACATGTGGTTATACAATTTTCCCAGTACCATTTATTGAGGAAGAATTCCTTTCCACAGTGTAATTGACTGTCTTGATGACGATCAGTTGGTTGTAGGTAGATGGTTTTATTTCTGGATCTTCTATTCCATTGATCTGTGTCTCTACTTTGATAACAGTTCTATGCTGTTTTGGTTGCTATAGCCTTATATTTTTCAGATCAGGTAATGTGATGCCTCTAGATTTGTTCTTTTTATTTAAGGTTGCCCCATTTTGGTTCCAAATGAAGCTTAGGATTATTTTTTCAGAATCTGTGAAAAATGATGCTGGTATTTTGATGGGGATTGTATTGAATCTGTAAATCACTTTGGGCAGTATGGACATTTTAACGATATTGATTCTACTAATTCATGAATAAGAGATGGTTTTCTACTTGTTTGTGTCATTTGTGATTTCTTTCATCAGTGTTTTATATAATAGTTCTCCTTGTGGAGGTTTTTCATCTCCTTTTAAAAGTATGTTTCTAGGTATTTTATTTTCTTTCTAGCTATTGTGAATACCCTTGAGTCCTTGATTTTGACTCTCAGCTTCGCTGTTATTCATGCAGAAATTCTACTTATTTGAGTACATTGATTGTGTAACATGAGACTTTGCCAAATCTATTTATCAATTCCAAGAGTCTTTTGGTAAAGTCTCTGGGGTTTCTTAGATACAAGATTATATCCTCAGCAAACAGGAAGAGTTTGACCTCCTTTTTCCTGATTTGGATACCTTTTATTTCCTTCTCTTGCCTAATTGTTCTGCTTAGGACTTCCAATAGTATGTGGAATGAAAGTGGTGACTGTGGGCATCCTTGTCTTGTTCCAGTTCTTAGTGGGAATGCTTTCAAATTTCCCCCATTTCAGTACACTAGAAGAGTGTATTTTCCCCATTCAGTACAATGTTGGCTGTGGGTTTGTCATATATAGCATTTGTAATTTTGAGGCATGTTCCTTCTATACCTAGTTTGTTGAGGGTTTTTATGATGCAAAGGTGCTGGGTTTTATCAAATGCTTTTTCTGCATCTGCTGAGATGATCATATGGTCTTTGGTTTTCTTTCTGTTTATGTGATGAATTG